ACTAACCCAAGATACTTTCCTATCTTTGAAAAAGCCAGCATTGGATGGTGTCTACTCTCCATTCCAGAAACAAAGATGCCTTAGCAGTTGAAGGTTTGTGGGAATCTTGACAACACGAGAACTTGTCTCAGAGTACGAAAAGTTCTAGGGATAAGTTGGGGGCCCCTTTAAACCAGGGGTCTTCAAACTTAGCCCTTTTATGACTTGTGGACTTCAACTCCCAGAATTCCTCAGCCAGCGTGGTTGTCTGAGGAATTCTGGGAGTTGAAGTCCACAAGCAGGGCTCTTCAAACTTGGCCCTTTTATGACTTGTGGACTTCAAATCCCAGAATTCCTCAGCCAGGCATGCTGGCTGAGGAATTCTGGGAGTTGAAGTCCACAAGTCATAAAAGGACCAAGTTTGAAGGCCCCGGATCTAAACTTACACCCACCTCTACAGGTACAATTGGATGTCTTAAATGATATATGATACACCTTCTCCATTATCTAGATCATTCTCCAACCCGTCAAATATGGGAGACATCGAAAAACTCGTGTTGGCTCGTTCTGTCATTAACAGAAGAGAATATTTATAGCTCAGTGTGGGATTCTTGGTGCTTTCTGACCTTCGTGGTTTTCTTGCAGATGTTTCATGACCCCATTAGGTAACATCATCTATGCCAGAAGGGAATAGGATTTGAAGAGAACAGAAGAGAAGAAGAGAAGAAGAGGAGGAGGAGGAGGAGGAGGAGGAGGAGGAGGAGGAGGAGGAGGAGGAGGAGGAGGAGGAGGAGAATTGTAGGGTCCTTGGTGTTTCCTAAACTTGGTTGTTTTCTTGCAGACAATTAATTACCCAACTAGGTAACATCATCAGTTCTACATGGATTAGGTCTACCATGTCATTGAAATTGTCACCTTGATTTTTCTGACATTTCTCTGCCTTCTATGGGCACCCTGGCTGTACGCTGCCTGTTTTGCAAAAACTACCCAATTTGCATTTAATCAGATGAGCATATCTTTCTGTCCCATTGAGAATGATGAACTTGGGACCAGCATGGAACACTTCTAAAGTATGGGTTCTTTTGGGGTTGGCTGGTGGTCTGCAGAAGTTTCATTACCTGGCTAGGTAACATCATTAGTGTTCGTAAGTGTGGGATTTGCTAACCAGCATTACTGTATATAAACATGTACGGTAACTTGCAAACTACTAATATACAAGAGCTGTTGATGTTTACCTAGTTGTGTAATGAAATGTCTTCAAGTTCAGAGAGCACCAAGGACCCCACCGTCCTCCTCCTTTTCCTCTCGTCCCCCCACTCCACGACCCCCACTCCCTTCTAGCACTGATGATGTTACGTAATTTGGTAATGAAACATCTGCAGGAAAACAACTAAGCTCAGAGGGCTTAGCTCTTTCTCCTCCTCTCTGCAAACCCCACTCCCTTCTGGCACTGATGATGTTACCTAGTTGGAACATGAAACATCTGTAGGAAAACTAAGCTCAGAGGACCCCAAGGATCCCACATTCATCCTCCTCCTCTTCCTCCTCCTCCTCCTCCTCTCTGCAAACCCCACCCCCTTCTAGCACTGATGATGTTACCTAGTTGGGTAATGAAATGTCTGCAAGAAGACAGTCAAGCTCAGACAGCATCAAGGATTCCACAGTCCTCCTCCCCCTCCCCCTCTCCATCTCCTCCTCCTCCTTCTCCTCCTCTCTGCAAACCCCGTCTAGCACTGATGATGTTACCTAGTTGGGTCATGAAACGTCTGCAAGGAAACAACCAAGCTCAGAGAGCATCAAAGATTCCACAGTCCTCTCCCCCTCCCTCTCCCCTTCCCCCCTCCTCCTCCTCCTTCTCCTCCTCCTCCTCCTCCTCTCTGCAAACCGCATTCCCTCCTAGCACTGATGATGTTACCTAATTGAGTCATGAAATGCCTGCAAAAAAACCACCCAGCTTAGAGAGCACCATCAAGGACCGCACAGTTCAATTCTCAGCTTCAAATATTCTCTTCTTTTGATAATATTTTCAAAAATCATGTCAGTCCCCACCAAATAAACCACATCAGAAATCAATTCCGCAATTGAGAGCTAAAGACCACGTTTATTGAGAGCGGATACCCTAATGGAATCTTGCAAGCCTGTGCTGTATCTCCTTCCTTTATACTCACGTGAATTATTGTGGCATCAGTTTGAGTCGCTTCCATAGTCTTTCTGCTTGTTTTGGACTTAACGTATGTTTTGACTTCTGTCGCTTTGGTAACAGACCTGGCCTATGTTAGAGTTTTACTTAATATAATACAAAATCCAGACAGCACTTTATTTTTCCATACAACACTCTTAGTGCAAAATATAATTTCCTATCCTATTTTCCATTCATTTCTATTCTGATTTAATCTATCCTTTTGCTATCCGTATGTTCTTAATCCTTTGTGTATAAATCTTATGGGTTTTTTTTTTTACATTAACTATTTATTTCTTAGCTCTTAGAGGTTTTTTTTTTTTAAAAAAATCCTCTTCTCTATGTTTTGATTCCCATGTGTATAAATTGTATAACTTTTTAAAAAGTTTATTTCTTAGCTCTTTACAATTTTCTTATTTTCTATGTTCTTATTCTTGAATGTATAAATCTTAGGTTGTTATAATCTTAACTATGTCTTAGTTTTTTGAAAATTTTCTTTTCTATATATGTAGTCCTGTGTTTAAGTTGAATGTTTTTTTATCTTAACTATTTATTAGCTCTTTGTTTTTTAAAAAAAATTCCTGTCTTCTATATTCTTATTTATCTATGCATAAATCTTATTTTTTTTATCTTATTTTTTTTTTTAAAAAAAAAAACCTCTTCTCTGTGTTCTTATTTCTACGTGTATAAATCTTATGGTTATTTTTTTACCTCAGCTATTTCTTAGTTCTTTCAAATTTTCTTCTTTATGTTCTTCTACATATAAATCTTATGTTGTTTTTAATCTTTACTGTTTTTAATCTTAACTGTTTTTAATCTTAACTGTTTTTAATCTTAACTTGTTAGCTCTTAGTTTTTTAAAATGTTCTTCTGCAAGTAGTTGTATTGTGTTTAAATATTTTTTAACTATTTCTTAGCTCTGTTTTTTTTTAAAAAAATCCTTTTCTATATTCTTATTTATCTGTGCATAAATCTATTTTTTAAAATAATCTTATGGTTAGTTTCAAACTAGGTGCATGAAAGCCTAGAGACTACCTTCACACAACATGCTAAACTTGAGTGTTGACTATGGTCAAATTTTATGGGTTTAATATACGAAATTAACCCAGCATATTTGGTTAATTTATGATTCAGCATATTGCATTAATCCAGAAAATGGGTTAATCCAATAACAAGGTTAATCTTTGACATATAAGGGCAATTTGGAAATAAACCTCTGTTTGGTTATCAATGACAGACACTCGCAGATACAGAACTTTTATTATCCATATTAGAAAACTACAACATTACATTATTTTTTAACATAAGCGCCATTCAAACTGAGGCACTTGTCATAACATCTTACAAGGTTGTTATGACAAGTGCCTCAGTTTGAATGCCAAATCTGGATTAAAAGGGGAGGTGATCAAAAACATCCCAACAGAACGGTTTCAAAAGTTCTTGAGTGTGTCTAGTGGTGTGCGGACGAGCATTGTCATGAACCAACACCACACCGGAAGTCTCATCTGAGTTTTCGTAACGTTTCACAGTAGACTTCTGAATTGATAGTCAAACCACGCTCCATGAACATCACTAGCCGTACTCCTTTGGCCTCTTCACATTTGGCGGGATTTTCTATGGCACCACTTCTGGTGTGGTGTTGGTCCACAACAATGCTCACCCACACACCGCCAGACGCACCCAAGAACTTTTGAAGCAATTCCATTGGGTTGTTTTTGATCCCACCCGTATAGCCCAGATTTGGCGGCGAGCGACAACGACTAAGGAATTTCAAACCTTGTAAGAGGTTTAATGTCTAGTTTAATGAAGAGAAGGACGAGGGGGGACATGATAGCAGTGTTCCAATATCTCAGGGGCTGCCCCAAAGAAGAGGGAGTCAAGCTATTCTCCAAAGCGCCTGAAGGCAGGACAAGAAGCAACGGATGGAAACTCATCAAGGAGAGGAGCAACCTAGAACTAAGAAGAAATTTCCTGACAGTTAGAACAATTAACCAGTGGAACAACCTGCCTCCAGAAGCGGTGAATGCTCCAACACTGGAAGTTTTTAAGAAAAGACTGGACAGCCATTTGTTCGAAATGGTATAGGGCTTCCTGCCTGAGCAGGGGGTTGGACTAGATGAACTCCAAGGTCCCTTCCAACTTTTAAAAAAAAGGTTATGACAAATGCCTCAGTTTGAATGGCGCTTATGTCGAAAAGTAATGCAATGTCGTAGTTTTTTAATGTGTATAATAAAAGTTCTGTATCTGTGAGTGTCTGTCATTGATAACCAAATGGAAGTTTATTTCCGAATTTCCCTCATACAAATGTCACAGAGCCTGTGCATTGTGGTTATATGTTGTAAAATGGGTCAGTCCCTGAATCACTGCATTTGTTGTTAGTAACACGGGTTGTTAAGTGAATCAGGCTTCCCCATTGACTTTGCTTAGCAGAAGATGACAAAAGGGGATCACATGAGCCCTAGACACTGCAACCGTCATAAATATGAATCAACTATCTGAATTTTGATCACGTGACCGTGGGGGATGCTGCAACGGTTGTAAGCATGGAAAAAAAAGGTCCTAAGTCCCTTTTTTCAATGCCGTTGTAATGTTGAATTAAGCAAAGGATTGTGAGTCAAGGACTTCCTTTAAGAATAATGTTCCAATAATCCTTATGGCACCTGTTTCCTGATCTGAAAAGACCAACACACGCAACTGGATTAAGCCAGGAAATTATGTTTATAATAATAATAGTAATAAAAGTTGGAAGGGACCTTGGAGGTCATCTAGTCCAACCCCCAAGCTGTTTTGGCTCATTATGGTTTAGCAAACAGGCCAATATAGCTCCCGAATTCATACTCACTGCCAGCAGGTGACCCAAGGCAACAGAAAGACCGATGGCCAATGGTGCTGATCCGGACAGGTCCGTTCGCCTCTTGTCCGTTGTGGCTAGCACACACAACACCAGCTGCAACGTAGCGATGATTTCAATGCCCAGGCCTTGCCCAGGATTGACCCCAGGTGCCAACTGCAAAGGAAAAAGGCCGCAAAGAGAAGAAATCACAACCAGGATGAAGCTGAATTGGATGCTGATTCACTTAATGACCCGCTTTATGATCGCTAAGTTCATTTAACAACCTCTGCAGAAAAGGTCATAAAATCGGTTTGGGTCACATGATCAGGCCAACTTGTTTTACCACTATCGTGACTTATGGGCTGGCTCCATTACGGTCATATGTCGAGGACTACCTGAATTTTTTATCCCCCAATACAGTTACGTGTTTATGACACTCTATTCAGACACACACCCTACTTTTTATAGCTCCAAGCAATACAATAAATAGGCTGATTAAAGTGTCAGAAGCCAAAATTGGATGCCATTTGCTTAAGCTTAGGATAGGACAGCCAGACTTTAACTTACAATCATTCATTTAGTGACTTCTTGTGCCAAGGACTGGTGACAGCAGTGGCCGGGAGAATGGTTTCACACATGCAACCAAAATTATGTGCATATGCAAATGAAGCTTCACACCCTGCCTGCCACATCTGTGGACCACTTCCCAACAGTCCGCGGACCATTATTCTATCTATGTAGAAAGAAAAATCCATTGTGTTGCTTTGAGCAAGGTATGACATGACTTAATTTGATTACACAATTTTGTGGGCATCCCCTTTGTGGTCCAAAATGGCTATCTTATTTTTGTTTTGAGTTTCTTTCTCTGGAGCAAAAGTTGTTGCCAAACTTTTTTTGATGACTCTGTGAAAAAGCACTCCCCAACTTTCCTGATTGGTGGCCCGGCGTGGGGGTAGGGGGAGAGGGGAATGGTTTTGTATGAGGCGCAGGCATACGCACAGCTTCATTTGTGTCAACAGTGGGCACGCAAGAGGGGCTGCAAACGCCGGCATGCCCCACTCAGGTGAGTGGGGCTTGAGCGGGCAGGCATGCACACCCGCTGCTTCAGTGCCCCAGTTCCAAATGGACCCCAGGCCATTAGTGGGCCTTGGCCCAGGGGATCGAGACCCCTGATCTAAAACAACCTCACCCCTGGATGGATCTGCAAATTCACAAAAGAACAAGCAAACCCCTTTATTGAGAATCGCTTTTAGTTACTAAGCATTAAGGGAATGCAAAGAGATAATGTGAGAGAACTGTTGTAGATTTCTGGTAATGTTTAAGTAGTTGCTGAGAACTGGAGAATGGATAATAAGAATGATATGGAGGAGGAGAGGGTGGAAGGAAGGAAGGAAGGAAGGAAGGAAGGAAGGAAGGAAGGAAGGAAGGAAGGAAGGAAGGAAGGAAGGAAGGAAGGAAGGAAGGAAGGAACTGGAGAGTGGATAATAAGAATGATATGGAGGAGGAGAAGGGTGGAAGGAAGGAAGGAAGGAAGGAAGGAAGGAAGGAAGGAAGGAAGGAAGGAAGGAAGGAAGATGGGATGAGGAGGAGGAAGAAGAAAAATGGAGGGATGGAGGAATGAAGAAAGAAAGGAAGGGAGGAGGAGGAGGAAGAAGAGGGGAAGAAGAAGGGGAAGAGATTGTAAATGATTCAATGATCACAATTTAATAGGCTTTTGTTGGAAACAAGCATTTACTTCTGGTATCCAGCTAAAACGCCCCATAGGTAACAATGGTGGCATTGACCAAACAACCATCATGTTCACTTTATGACCACCACAGAAAAAGGTCATAAAATCAGACATTGTCACATAGTAACCTCCTTTACAATTATGATGATTTATAACTAAAATGGTCAGCTCAATTATTTATAAGTTGAAGATTGCTTTTATGCATTGTTCAGTATGTGTGTTTTTAGTCTGTTATAAGCTGTCCGCCGTAAACTGACAAAAAATGTAAACATTAAAACCATGAAACTAAGGGAGATATTAAGCTATAATAGAGGAGCAAGCTGCAGACCTGTAAAAGAGAATCCATTATGAGCAGAAAAATATGACAAATTTAAAAGAGATGTTTTACTCATGACAAAATAGACACATGTGGAAATACTATAGTTGTGCAAGGCTTTGTACGCTGAAGGGAAGGCCCAAAAACTCCAAAGCACTGCATGCAAAAAAGAGATGTGGCTTCCATCTTGACTTTTTTGACCCCCTCCCTTCCCATGGATACTCCTGACATCGAAAAAGAGCTCTCTGCTTCCTCACACTGGTGCCCTGGGAACGTCTGAACTATCATCAAAAGCCAGCTTTGGCATTTTCACTGATATAATGGGAAGAAAAAATGGTCCATAAGCAAGGCAATTAGGGACAGACACCTTAGAACAGTGGTTCTCAATGTTTGTGTGACGGCGACCCCCGTCACACAAACATGCCGCGCATGCGCAGCGCGGCGCGCATGGGCACCGCCCCCCATGTGCGGCGCGCATGCGCGGCGGCGCCCCCTGAGGGGGAAAAATGGCAGATCGCCTTGTTTGGCGACCCCCGAGAAATGGTCGATCGACCCCAAATGGGGTCGCGACCCATAGGTTGAGAACCGCTGCCTTAGAAGGCAATTAGATGTAAGCTGCAATGTTGCAGGGGGCTGCAGGGGGCAGCAAAAAAGTTGATGGTAATCATCTAAATTCTTGACTACCATCTAGTGGTCTTCTGAAGTATTGGCAGCCCAAACATTTCAGAGAGAGAGAGGGAAGGGAGGGAGGGAGGGAGGGAGGGAGGGAGGGAGAGAGAGAGAGTGTGTGTGTGTGTGTGTGTGTGTGTGTGAGAGAGAGAGAGAGAGAGAGAGAGAGAGAGACTAGAATTCACTATCACCAGTGATTGGTGGAGAGTCACCTAACCTTCACCAGTAGTCCACAAAACCCCTTGATTGTCTTATTCCTGAGTTCTGTCTTGACTGCTCTTCCTCAAGCTTGCCCTTTGGGGTGTGGTGGACTAAAGCACCACGTCTTTCATGTCCATGGCCATCCCAGCAGGGGATAATCACATTTGTGGTCCCAGAGGGCAGGAGGCCTGGAGGGAACCAGCCGCCTATGAACTAAATGGGAGGAATTGTTGAAATAAATGTCAAAGTGGACTAAGTGCTACTGTGGAAAGATGTCCCCTGACACCTAGGTTGTTTGTCTGTATCAGTGAGAACACTCGGTCAAGGGAGATCGCACGTTCCTGGCATCCGAAGCGATGACCCCCCCCCCAGCGCATAGGGAGCATCGAGCATCAGAGCATCCGCAGCAAAAGGCCAGAGTTTAACTGGCCGGGTTAAAAGGTGGCTGAACTGAAGTGATCCCTGCTCTCATTCTTGAATCTGCAGACAATCAAGCAGTCGTGAAATCACTTCCAGCTCCATTTTTGCTCTCTTTGCCCAGTTTCTGTCTTGCCCCAGCCTTCCCTCCAGGACAAATTGGCAGAATGGGGAAAATGTTATTTGGACGCTGGAAGAAATAAGGAGGACTTAAGAGCATCTGAATCAGAGGTTAGGGAGAGATGGAAGCAAACGTGGTGGTGGTGGTAGTGGTGGTGGTGGTGAGGAGGAGGAGGAGGAGGAGGAGGAGGAGGAGGAGGGATGACATGTAAAGATTTTCTGAATGCATCATGCTAACTGATGATTTAAACCTATTTTCCTTTTTTCTTTCATTCCTTCTTTCTCTCCTCCCTCCCTTCTTCCCTCCCTCCCTCCCTCTCTCCCTCCCTTTATTTTGCCTTCCTTATGTTCACTTCCCTCAATTTATTGCCTACTTCACAAATCAAAGTATTATTTGAACACAGAAATTGCTTAATTCACGACCAGCTTTTCTGTCAGCAGATGGAGGTCTCTATAACAACCTTCTACCCTTCCACATTTTGGCTTCCCAAATGCCCTCTGGATTTTTGTTTTGTTTTGTTTTGTTTCTGGTTCTTTTTTCTCTCTCTCTTTTCCTAGGACTTTTATTTCCACAAAAAATGCAGGTAACAGCACATATTTCAAAGTCAGGCTTCTCATTTTCTCTCTGAACTTTAATGCACAAAAGGATGGGGAAAGGAAACAGGAAATGAGGGCAGAACAAAGAATTCCAGATGACATTGTTCTCTGGTGCTGAGATTCTTTTTCCTCTCTGCATTTTTTTTTTTTTTTTTTTGCAAAGAATGGGTAGCAAGAGAAGAAAAAAAAAATCATGACACTGAGACAAATGCAAATCTTGTTATATAAAATGAAATCATGGGCACGCAATAAAAACACAGTTTGGGTAAGCAGCAAGCTAACCAGGATTTAATTTGTTTTTATATAAGACGGGCCTGGAGAACTCATCGTCAACTTTCCCCAATGAACCGAAAATTTACGAAGATCTGAATCAAACATGCTCCAACAGACCTCAGCTTGTGAGCCACCACCAATGTGTCTCCCCCTGCACAATTTTGCTTAGCAACCAACATATGAAGGTGGACTCCCAAGTTACACCTTCCAAAATGATGAGATTGTGGGCCTCTGTTCAGACCACAACCCTAAAAAACATTCAAGCAATGTAGCTAGAAATCCCATCAATTTAGGATTCTGAAGTCCTAAGGCAGGGGTCTTCAAACTTGGCCCTTTTATGACTTGTGGACTTCAACTCCCAGAATTCCTCAGCCAGTGCACCTGGCTGAGGAATTCTAGGAGTTGAAGTCCACAAGTCATAAAAGGGCCAAGTTTGAAGATCCCTGTCCTAAGGTATCTGAAGGACGCCAACTGAGAAGATGATACAAAACAAAGATTGTCCTGCTGGCTTGGACAAAAGGTCCATGTTTACTTCTCATGGGGACCAACCAGATGTCTCTGAGATGCTTCCAAGAAAGAGGAATACCATTTTCCTGCATGGTTTTCATGCAGCTGGTGTTTGGAAGTATCTCAGAGGCAATCACCCCCAGCTGGAGCCAACTCTGAAACGTCAAGACTGAATATCCTCAACAGACCTGATCTTCATGAGGTTTAAGCCTCTTTTTAATAAGAATTCAAGAGCAACCTACCTACTGGACAAGGCCAAGATCCATTTTAGATCTTTATAATGGTTGTCTAAGTAGCCATCCAGATGCCACTGAGACACCAAGCAGAAATAGACTTTATTTATTT